CAACCAAAAAGAATCCTGTGGAAACAAAAGGCTATTTAACAATCTTCAAATTGAACTGAGCACTAATTAAATGCAATAATAAATACTTTGTTATGTTCTGCCACTGTGCTCTGCTCAGAAAGATTTTTTCTTTAGTCTGCAGAGTAATGAAACGAAACATGTCTTTCATCTCCAGCTTCTTCCACTCCTCCAACTCCATCTAAGCCTTCTTTGTTTCACAGTGCCTTTGCAGGCACTGGTGAGTTGCAAAGCTGTTAATCACCATGAAGAAAATACCTTAGATCTCCCCCAGGTGAATGAAAGCAGCATGCTCAATGGTTGAGTTAAGTTTCTGTTTTCCATAGCAGCAAAAATTGAAAATCTGTTGCTTCACACACACAAGAAATAATATTTCAGTGAGGTTTGTATGTCTGTGTGCATATTCATGCAGAATTCTTTTGTTTATCATTTTCTTGTCTGGCTGAGCCCCCACTAATCTCCACAGGGCCTGGAGCCAATGTGAAGAAGAGCAGATGCTGCACATTATAGCACAGTCATGCTCTGACCTGTCCAGCCCTTGCAAAGCACATGTTAAAGCAGCTGGTTTGTGGATAGGACAGGACATTCCTATTTCTATAAAGAATTGCTTTTCTCTATTGCCCTTAAAACTTGTAAATAGAAAACTGAATATCTGAAAAAAATCCCACAACTACTCAGACATATATCAAGGCAAAGTGATGGTCTGCTGAGTTCAGTCTATGTGTCAAGGAAAGGAGCTGCCCAGCACTATTGTGGGAAGCACTGGGGCTTTGTTTGACCATCTGGGTAATGCTCTGGATATGCAAGTGAGCCTTGGAATTTAGACTCCACTTTTGATGAGTAACCCTCCTCCCTTAAATAAATATATAGTTGACCCACAGTGCTTGCAGTGGTTGTTGTTGGGATAAGGCAGAAACAGCCATGCTTCCAGCTCCATGCTAGTCATTGGCAAGGTTGCAAGCACTGGTGTTTCCTCCAGCTGCTTATCTTGAATGGCCCCGTCCCCCCTCTAGTGTGCTGCTGGGATTCATCTTCACCTGGCCCTATTTGACTTAGTTCATGTCCAAAGATTTTTAATTTGACCAATATGTATATTTCAACAGGACTCAGGACATCAAGAAAACACAACCAGACTTCGTCATCCTGAATCTCAAAAAGCAGGTGCTGAAACCCTCTTTGTTAGACTATTACCATAGTAGGTTCTTCAGTGGATGAAGGCATTATTCTGATTACTAAGTTACTGTATTAAATGAAAAAGAGTAAAAAGGGTTAAAATGGGAGAACACTGCTAAAATATTGTCAGGTTGTCAGAAAAAATGTATTAAAGCTGCAACCTCTATGAGCTGCTGGAATCATGCAGCATATGCAGCACATTGGAGGGTGAATTGCAGGCTCTCCTTCCTGCTGATGAGCATATGAAGGAGGCTGGCCAGAGCAAGACTGCACCTTCTGTCCTTTGCATTGGTTTATGGTGCCTGTTGGTTACCTGGGGGAAAGCCTCTGATCCTGTTTAATCCCTCAGCCTATGTAATCTCAATTTTTCCCCCTAGAAAATTGGGAAAATACTTTGTGGCCTAGACACTAAAATGTTTGAGTTAATTTTGCAAAAAATAATGGATTTGAGTCTTAAGGGGATTGTGCTCATATTAGGAATTCCTGATAGCTTTTATTCACTCAGTGTCATATGGATCATTGCAAACCTAATTATCTTGATAATCCTGAGCTGCACTGAATTTAATGAAACTGTTTTTAGCAAGTAGCAAGTTGGGATGAACAGCAATTAAAGCCCAGTCCAGAAGGCAGAGAATTCTATCAGAAACTGATGTCTGATTTCCAATCTCTAGCTAGAAATATTTACAGATTTTTGGAATGGTCCACTAGGTACAGTGCAGTCATGAAATTGAAGTCTTAGGTGTGTAATTTAATTTGCCATGAAGTCCGAGGGTGAGGCAGCAATTCAAAGCAGTGAGATGTGGAGATGAATCCAGAAAAAAAAAGGATTTAGATGGCAGTGGAGTATACACTCTCCAAAGGAAAAGCAAGACTGGCTCCTCCACTCCGTTGTCCCTGAGAATGAATGTCCAGGGGCAGACATAAATCCCAGAACTTGATTTCTAAGCTCTTAGTGATGCCACCACCTTTGGATATCAACTTTCTCCATGCTTTTGGGGGATTCCTTCCACTCTGCTGTTCTATCTCCTATTCTCTCTCACCCTATTTTCTTGCACTAGAAAAATAAAAATCCCTGGCTTCAGGTAAGAAGTTTTTGGTTGTTGCACCTTGAGTAATAACCATGTAGTTTCCATCGCATCACAAAGTGGAGTGGGGAAGAGCAGACCATGCAAAAACTTTCTTCTTACATGTAATTGTCACCTCATTTTCTCTAGCATTTTTGCTAACCTGTTTCCTTAGAGACATCCGATGCACCACGTTTTTGTCTGGGGTTGAGACACTGCTCTGCACCCTGTACTACCCAACTTGCAAATGCCAGGCTGAAACAACTGCACCACTCACTGATCATGAGGTGCATTTAATTAGAAAGGAACATGACCCCTCATCCACTCAGCAGGCACCAACTGCAGCCCGTGAAATGTGGTTGGCATGCTGATTTGAGTCATGTGCTAAAAATCTTATCAGGCCTGCTGACTATTTTCGACACCTTTTGGGAGTGCTTCATTACCATGCACACAGCAAGAGCTTGTTTGGAATGCCTCATCTGGGATGCAGACATACATCTTTCATTAAACAGGATTTCAGTTGCCAAGAGTATGAGTGACCACTATGAATACACTGCAACTCCTGTTGAAAAGTCTTCTGTGTCATCCATCATCTCTCCTATTTAAAAGCAGAAAAGAATTTTCATCTCCAGTGGCTTAGGATATAAGTGCAGTAGGTGCATCAGCTATTAACCAAATGATACTAGTTTTACCTCCAAGAGATCCAAATTCAGTGGAGCATTTTCATAATCTCAGTGATTTTGGACTATTTTCCAAAAGGCACAGAAATAAAAATACTTAATTATTGCCTAATACTCATTGCTTAAGCAGTCATTATACATTTATTTGCTTTCACTGTTTTCTCATTAATGAAGGTCCTATTTCTTTTAGAATGTTATAAAAAAACACTTACTGCAGATCAGTAACTGTTTGACAGATGTTTACTCTTTTAAAAGTAATCATACAGCAAAGAGATGGGAAATATGTAATAGTACATATCTGCTGCTAGTCAAATCCAGAATCCATTACAAAATGCCACTCTAAACATCTTCATGGTAAAGAAATAGTTGTGAAACTAGTGTTTCTTTTTATAGCAATTAATTTCCATACCTTGAGAAATTAAAAATTACTTTAATGTCTATTTAAAATACTATTATCCTCTTTTGTTTCCTTTCTAAATACCATGCATGGTAGTTCTGAACTACATCCTAAATGGTTTACACAAACAAGCAGAGTGCATTTTCTGTTTATGGTGGTCCACTGTAAAATCCTGCAAGCATTATCTGCTTCTGATTATCTCATCCATTTAATTCCTGCAACTTTCACTGGTTTTTCTGTGTATGGACGTGTTTTTATTTACCACTATGTGATAACACAATATATAGTCAATGAAAATATATTTTTTATTTTGCTTGGCTTCGTCTTGCATTTTTAACAGCCTTTACCCTGCCTTGAATATTCCTAATTTGTCTGTTAGTTAGCTAGTTACAACCCCCAGGCAGACCTGACATCATCCAAACAATCTTCTGGAATGTTTTGTCTATCATTACGTTTTAGTGAATATTTTAGTTAAACTCTTCAAAATTTTGTATTCATGCAAAGGGCTGTGTTTTCTGACAAAACTATGTAGAGTCACGAAGTATCTGACCGCCTCAAAAAACTTCTCATTCCTTTTTGACATGACTGGGAAACATAGCAGAGGAGAGGCTGTTTTGGGTCTTTCAAGCTTTTTTAAACTTAAGGTGGATATTTTCATGTCGATAAGGTCTTTTGTGACCATGCTAATACTGTGTTGGGAGGCTACAAGGATTATGATCAGCACTGATGCTTCATTCTGCATTGCCTGTGGTAAGCCCATCACTAAATTATCTCATTTTGCTTTTGTTTTCAATAAAACAACAGTTTTCCACCTAGAGAATGAGCTCACATTCAAATGCTTGAATCAAGCTTTGTCTGCAAATTCGTAACTGTGCCAAATGTGGGGTCTTCAAGTCACAGGAACATAAATGAAAAAATGTTCATCAACTTCTACAGAAATGTTTTAAACATGGCTGAGTTGGTCTAGAAATAAAAAGCAATCTCTTTCTCACCTTTCCTGCACCAATTTTGCATACTTTGCTGTGATCTGATAGCACTGGCTCTGAGAAAACAGGGTTTTTCATGTTCTGCCACTGCTGTTCTTGATAATGCCATTAGAGTCTTTTCAGTAATGCCAACACAACCAAACTTCTTTGTTTTTAACCAAGTAAAAAAGTAACCACTGGTGTACTTTGATGCTAGGTGAGACCTAGCAGGATTCTGCTTGACAAATTAAAAAAGAAAAAGACAAAATAAACCTTCTTCCACAAACCTGAAAAACACACTTCAGAAAGAAGTAACTAAGGTGAAACTGATTTCCACCTGAGGACTGGATACAAATACTCTGATTTGCCTTTTATCCTGTTTATTTCAAGCTTCCAGAATTTGGTTAACTATAACAAACTGTTTTGTTATGCACTTTAATTATTTAGTTTTCTGTATATTTTTGTAATGTCTTTGCTTTGGTTATAAAGTATACAAGTAAAAACATGTCCTGTACCTTTATATTAACCCATCATCTTCTCAGTCAATGTAATTTACCACAAGAGAGTAGGGATAATATTAGCATCATCCTGCTTGGAACAAATATTGTTTTTTCTCAGATTCATTACTGGCACAAGTAAGGATGCTCTGGTTTTCTTAGTAGAAAATAACGAATCAGAGTACAGAATAAACCACATTTTCTTCTGCTTGAAAATCATAAACAGATTTATTCTTTCACATAAAATGAAGAAAAACCTATTTTCCTATTTCTACAAGGTTTCTGACTACTTGGGAATTTTGTAATCTGTTTTGACAGGACAAATACTGCTAAACAGAGATTGCTTAATGAATCTAGGATGAGATTCTCAAAGTAGCCACACAAAGTATAAAATGACAACAAAATACCTGTCACAACTTCTATTCACCCATATGGCTATTGAATAAATTATTCAATCAATCTACTTTGACTCTTTGAAATTTTATGCACTTGTCCCACTTGTTAGCCATGGGAAGTTGAGATTTTATGTGCTTGTCCCACTTGTTAGCCATGGGAAGTAGCAAAACTGAGAATATTGTAGATCCACTGTCTTCCCAAGTAACAAAAATATAATTAGCAACTCAGCTGCAAACAACTGCAAGGGCTTTACTACCCAAAGGTTACTGATAGAGTCACTGAAAGCCATGACAGATACAAACATGGGATGGCAATCAGGATTTGTTCTGAAAAACTAATATGTGGAAATCCAGGGCTTCCCTCTCCTTTTTTTTTTCCTCTGCTGATGAAGGTTGGAGTTTGTTTGATGTTTCTTCTTGTTCTTCTTGCTGAAGCCCACCCCAAGGGACGCCATTTATTGGAATCTGTGGGTATTGATGATTCCGAGATTGTAGAAAGTCTCTGTCTTTCTGCCCCGTTGCCAAAGAAGAAGCCATAATTCGTCTGTGCTGTTTTCCAGGTTGTTTATTCTTGCTTATCTCTAACATGTTCTGCTGCCCTGCTACAGGTCTGTCCTGCAGGGCAGCGTGTGGGGCTCTGTACAGGGGGGTTCCTGACCCCCTGTCAGGGTCCCAGGCCCTCCAGGGCAGCCAGAGGGAAGCCCTGGATTCCCACACTAACAATAGAAATTAGTAGTAAGAAGGAGGAAGAAAGTAACATCAGAAGCAGAATCCACTCAAGAATTTCAAATATTTAAACAATACTAATTCTTCAGTTCCAAGACTTATTTTGAATTCATTAACAATATAGTTAAAGTAATTAAATAAATTTTCTATATAATGGGACAGTCACAGAAATACCATGCCTCATTAGGTAATTTTTTCTTTTACCTTTCATAGTGGAATGTACTTTATGTAACTTACAGAAAAAGACATTGTTAGTCCTTTGTTATTCACATGATTAAAATAGATGCCAAGGACATATGAAAAAGCAAACTATATGATTGCTGAAATGAAAAAGTGTAACAGTGAATGTATACTGTTAAAATGCCATTTTTTAGGAGAATAAAAACAACAGTAATTCTTTTTTAACAGTGTACCTAGTTTTGAATGCTGAAGCAACATTCCTATTGGCTAAATTACTCTATTTTGCCATTCCATGGAAGCAAAGGTGTCTTTTTTCATACACACTGCAGACTGGAGAGAACACAGTACATGATGAACAGATAGAACAATTTCAATTTTTCATCTCTTCATGGCATCTTCAGTGAGCTCAACATAGCTGTGAATAAAAGAGCAAAGATGGTATTTTCTTGTATCTTGTATCTTGCTTTTAATTTTCATTTGACCTGATATTTTTAAGGTTTTAGATTATTTCATTCCTGGAATCTACTTTCTTTAACAGTTCAGACTTGCTATGTGTAAGGTTTTCAATAATATAGCCAAAAATGTGATTAATTTGTTTCTAACTGTTTTTAAATAGGAATAAAAGCTTGTATGGATATTCTACCTTTGATTTACAGGCTATCATTTTTTATAAGTCAGTGAAAATTAGTTAAATGACAGTTCAAACTAAACCACAATAAGGTGATCTTTAATCGAGATAAATGGTTTGCCTTTTTTTATTAAACACTTCCCAGGCAGAAACGCAGAAAAATGCTTTTCATATCACTGAGAAGCTAAAAAAAATACCTTTTCATATGAAGTCAAAGCTTCCAAGTCAGTGTTTCTTAGTTTGCTCTGTAAATGTTTCTTACTTTCTGTCCCATAAAAGTCTTCTGTCCCACCTCCCTTCAAATTATTTAAGCATGTGATTCCCAAGTTCCTAGAGACTGAATGACAGATTTTAAGCCTGCTATCTTAGCAGATACATTGCACTAGAAACAGAGGCAGACCTCTTCAAGCGTGATTTGTGTGAGACATGTTAGAGTGGGCCAGTTTTCATGAAGCAGAGTATCCATGGTTTTAAAATCCTGACTATGAAGAATCTTACTTTGGGCATTAAAAAAAAAAAAAAAAAAAAAAAGATACAAAAGCCCAAATTACTGGCAGAAGTAAATGTCAACAAGTTTCAAGTTGGTACAGAGAGGGATATTTACAGGTCTTCATCAGAGTAGAAAGCACTACTGAAATGTAGTTTTAATTATTATGCATATTAATACATTTTAAAATGATGAGTTTGCTGGTATTTATTTTATTTTGCTCTGAGTTATCCCCAAAGCTTCAGAGACCATAAGAGATCAACAACAGCACTAACAACATATTTAATCTTTCAAAAAGATGTATACTTCAATTTTCTCTCAGAAAAGGTAGGCGACATAATGAAATAGATGAAATTTCATCAGCAATTTTCCAGGTGACTAGTGCAATTCATAAACAACTTTGCTCTTTAAATAAAAAATCTGATTTCATTTAATCATGTTGATAGAAACATTAATTGTGCCTTACTGGAATGCTCTTTAAAAATCTTGACATTTTTACTAAAATTTCTTCCATTCTTTGAAGATGATGTAATGTAGCAACTTCCACCTTTATATGAATAATATCTTCCATGTATTTTAGTGGGGTTTATGTCTTCATATCCAGAATGTGGATTTGTCTTTTTTTTAATGCTTGCTAATACTACTGATTTTGGAAGGGGCAGATTAGCATCTTCATACACAGGATACAGGACCACAAAAACTTTACAGGTCTTGGTGGCTGTTTGCTTTCTCCTCCCCCTTTTTCACATATTGTTCAAATTAGACTCAACATCTCCCCTAAGGTCAACCATGTGATCACATTTCCCCAGTCAAATCCCACCTCAAGAACTATTTCGATTGCAAAAAGTCAGCTCGGCAGGGGGTTCGACAAGGAGCTCGCCCCCGCTGTTGTAGCTTCTCCGGCCGCCGAAGGGTGAGCAGGCGTGCAGAGTCTGTCCCTGGAGTCTCCGTGGCACGCTGGTAGCTGGAGGTGAAGAGGTGTGCAATCCGTATCTGAAGTCCCAGCAGACCGTCCTCTCTCCTTACCTCCCGGCACACTGGTGGCCGCAGGGTGGGGGGATGCGCAGAGCCTGCTGCCAAAGCCCAGCAGCAGCTGTCCCTCTCCTTCCCTCCTGGCAGCACCAGGAAGTGTCTGACTGCTTTGCTCCTGCTTCCCACAGCCCAGTCCAGTCTCGTCCTCTGTAGGTTATGGTGACAGGTCAAACACAGACTAGGGATGGGGTTCCCTTTTCCCCAATAAGCACACCCATCCAGCCCCCTCCATTGTGCCCATCTTTTCCATTTAGGGGTGTTTTTCATCCCCAAAACCCCCTCCCATGATTCCACAGGATTATTTTGCATCCCAGTCCTAGAATGGTAGTGAGGGTGGGGGGAGGTAGGTGATTCCCAGGAACAATTAGCTAATTAACATTTCAATGTCAGTACTTACCCCAAGCCAAGTGTCCCAGCCAGGCTGTTTTGTTCATAACAACTCACTTTTCAAGAAATTATGGCCAAAGGATAAGTTTCTCATCATACTTGTTCTGGGAACTTCAGACAGAAAGAGAAGAGAGGGCTGTTATTAGTTGTTCCTTGAAGTTTTTCAAACCCAGCTGTTATAGAAGGGTTTGAGTAAGAACACAAGCTACAGAACCAGAAAGACTCCAGGGTGAACTGATAAAGTGAAGCTGCCTCAATCATGGGTGTCTCTAGGCACGGTTTTTGACAGCGTCACCGTATGAACTTCTACACATGCATAGACAACTTTCACAAACACTGAAGGTGAAAAGACCACGTTTGTTCTAACAGTTCAAAATGGCTCAGAGGGCTTTACAAGGTTCATTCATTCATCCATCCACGCAAATGCTTCCTTACTGCCAACGCTAAGGTGTTTCTCCAAAGACAGGCTGGAGATGATAATAGAAAATACTACTTTGGATCATCTTCAAAGAAGAATAAAAAATTATTGCCAAGAAATTAGATCTCCAGGGCACGTTCAGCTAACGTGCACTGATTTTTTTTTCGTGTGAACAACCCACTGCAAAAAGATTCGTTCGTATCAGGGGCAGATGAAACTGCCCAGGAGCCAGCTGCGAGGGATGTCGGGTCCTGGCGCGGAGCATTCAGCGGAACCATGGTCAAGGTCACGGAGGTTCTGCTGATACCCAGGGCCACCGGCCGCCAGCCGGGGCCCCGAGCGCCATCCCAAGCACAGACGCCCGGCCGGCGATAGCCCCGCGCTCCCGAGGCGGGCTCTGCTCCGCCCCCACGGCCCGGCCCGGTGCGCTGGGGCCCGGGGCCGGGGCGGTGCGGACCCGCCACGGCCGGGCCGTGTCGCCGCTCCGTGCCCAGACCCCCGCGGTACCGGGGCGGGATCCCCTACCGAGCGCCCGGGCCGAGCCGTGCGCTGCCGTCCGGCCGCGCCGCACTCGGTGCCGGCCCCGAGGGCGCTCACGCCGCGCCGCGGGGAGGCGGCGGGGGCTCGGCGGGGCGGGGGGAGGCGGTGCCAGGCGGGCGGGGCTCGGGCTCGGCGGGGCTGTGGCGGTGGCGGTGGCCGTGGCCGGGACTGGGCGAGTTGGAGCGAGCGGCGGCGGCGGTACGGCTGCGGCGGCAGCATGGCTTCGTTGCAAGGGAAGAACGAGCTGCTCTTCGCCGACTGGATGGCAGCGCTGCCTGGCAGCCTCCACAGCACCCCGCTCACCAACCTGGCCATCCCCGGTGGGTGCTCCCGGCCGCCCGCCCTGCGCCGGGAGGGCGAAGCGCGCGGCGCGGCTCAGCGCTCCGCACGGCGGGGGAGGCGGCGCGCCCCGGCCGCGCTGCCGCGGGCTCCGCTCAGATCTCTGACCGCGCTGCCTTGCACTGCCTGTGGCAGCGAGCGGGGCAGGTGCGGGCAGAGCCGGCGGCGGGACGCGGCTCCGGCGGCTCCGCGCTGCGAGCGGCTGTGGGGCGGCGGGTGCGGAGTGCGCGGCTGTACCTGGTGTCGGGGAGGGAAGGGAGCCGGTTCCCGCACCGCCGGACGGGCTTAACAGCCCGAGCAGTAAACCTCGCCTAGAATCTAAATGCCACATACTGCCCCTTTCCCCCTAAACTTGTGCGGCGAGGTCGGTCGGAGCGGGCACGGACGCAGGGTTGCGGCTGCGGGAGGGGAGGCAGGCTGCGGCAGTGTGCGGCTTCATGTCATGTCGCTGTCAGAAAACGCTCGATCTCAACACAATTTTAAATAAGATGAGGGATGGCAGGTGATGATGTTCAGACTACGAACTCTTTCCTGTCCTGTCTCAGTATTTTCTTTTTTCTTTTTTTTTTTTTTTTTTTGGAAAGATATTAAGTATGGTTGTAGACTTAGGAAAAATACATGTTAGAATGCAAACCTGTAATTGTTTCAGATCACCTCGGGTTTGAGGGAGCACCTCAAGGTTTTGCAAGACCTCTTTACCAGCATCCTTCCTCTCTAAGGTGTCTGACTGGAATGAGATTTCAGAGATGCTGAAGCTCTAATGTCTTTTAAGCTTCTTATGAGAAATGTTCACTTCTTGCAAGTTTCATGTAGTAGGTGCTTGTGTTACACCAGTTTTTGTAATGCTAAAGATACTTTAGGACAATGTAATAGCAGCTGATATTTGCAAGAATGTTTTTTCCATAGTTTCATTTAGACACAGGTGTGCCCTTCTAAAATTAAGTGTCTCTTAGTTTCTTATAGTTTACACAAGCTATACCTAGCATTTTACTTGCTACACTGTGTGTTGCTGTTGGTTGAATATCTCCTGTATAAAACTGTGTCCCTCCAAGGCTTAGGAACCCATCATCTGCAATTGTTCCATCAAATTCTGTTGCAGCTGTAAAAATCTTCCAGTGTAATAACTGTTTATTAATCCACAAACTGTGGAATGTTCTTGTGGAATATTGGCATGATGAGAAATTATTCTCTTTCGGATATGCGGTGGTTTTCAGGTTAAATATATTGTTTTAGAGACTTTTTCCTGGTTTGAGGAGATATTATGAAACTTAACTTTTTTCCAGATGCAAGAAATTGCCTTTGTTACGCATCACTATTAAGTGACTTCCTTTACCAAAGGGAGCATCATGAGGCTGTTACTGGTACATCTATCTCACCAAGATCTTGCTGTTACTTTCTTATAGCCTCTTTCTAAAAACTCTCCACAGTTTTTCAAAGTGGACATTTCTTAGAGTTTTGGCAGTAATAATCCAAGCTTTCAGACCTTGTTAACATGTTTAAATTAAAAACAAGCAAACAAACCAATTTACAGTGGGCTGTGCTAGTTAATCCCAATATAGCATTTAGCAGTGGGCAAGTTCTGCAGACTGTAAGTGCAAAGACTGAGCCCTTACATTGGCAGAACTATTTTGTTCCTATAACATCAATGCACACAGACTTGCTTTTTGTGAAATTAGCAGAAAAACTTGTATGATTTGAGCGCCACAGTGTTAAGACCTTTGAAATTTGTCCTTCTGTTAGTGTGAATTGACACAGACCTCTTATCTGTCTGTCTCACTTTTAAAATGCCAGGTTTGGCAAATAGAGTCTTATGGGGAGGGTGGCAATATAGTTCATTGAATTTGTCAACTAGGGAGCATGGCACACAGATAGGTATCAGTGAAGTTTAAGCACTATCTTTTAACAGTAGATTTATTATTATATTCAACATACAATGTGGACATGCACAATATTAAGGAAAAGGGCTAACATGGGATTGGTTTCTTCCTTTAAGAACAAATAACCTTTCAGACATTAATAAAATTTATATGAAAGTTTTCTTCCATATGTCTACTGCTGAGCATTAATAATGTGTGCATAATAGCTGTTAGCATGTAACTAGTATTCAAGTAGAATATGCAAGGAATGTATGTAATCCAAACCTTCATAGTGTTAACTTGTAAATTTTTCACTGTTTTTGAAGTTAGTGCTTAAGTACTAAAGTATTCATAGCATTTTATTTACATTGTCTTTTCCCCAGCAGGATTTAAATTTTCCTTGCACAAAGTGAATACTGATTTTTACCTTATTTCAGCTGGATGAAATTTAGTTCTGGAGCCAGAGTTCAACAATGTTACTGTTGAAGAAAACAAACTATTAGCTTAAAAATCTTAGAATGAATTCTCCATTACAAAGTGTGTTCTAGTGTATTAGGGGGAAAATGTTTTAGAAATCATTAGTACATTTCTCATTGTCTAGAAGGAGTGCTTGGAACTGAGGTGATACACTCAGTTGTCTTTGCACAGACATGCTTGGGTCATTTTAGCTGTTGCAAAGAGAAGCACAAGCCCCATAACACTCTGTCATGATTGTATTTAAACTATATTGTTGAAGGAATTATCTGCTCATAATATGCTTAAAAATGTTGCTCACACCCTTTTATTTTTCAGTTGCTAAGCATATGCAGGTACAAATTTATACTATTTACCACGCCTTATACTTTTGTAAATAATAAATCTGTGCTGGATTTTTTCTAGTATTTCAGTAAGTTCTTCTCTTAATTTAATTCTCCACAGTTCAGGCTGGCTCTTTTTGTTTTCCCAACTGCAGGAACTCTCTAGATGAGACAGAATTCTCTAATATAGCATGTGCCAGCTTTGTCTGTCAGAAACTTTTCTATTTTAATTTCTTCCAAATATGATGATGAAGCATTTTCTATGAGGTTTTCATCTTTCTTTGAGCTGACTATGTCTGTGTTCTCTTATGCTGCAAGGGGCAGATTTTCCTCAAGTGATAATGGTAGAAAATAACAGTATGCATCCCTTGGATATAAAATGATCTGTTAGTGTCCAGAAAATGCCACACAAATTTAATCTTCTATTGCTATGATGATTAGAATAATGAAAGGATATATTCTTAGGACTTTGGGTTAAAGGTGTATGTCTTCTAGTGCTTGCAGACTGCCTCTTGTGTTAAAGGATCTGCCTGGTTAAACTCTCAACAGTTTGTCTAAGAAAAAGGTGGAGGACTGTGGATTATAGTCTTTGGGGGAAAGATATCTTTCAGTAGTTGATAAAATGTGGCTTTGTCAGTGCCTTTGCCTCTTTGACCAGGATAAGAAATAGGTTTTTGGAGGCATTGCATGTTTATGGGACTGAAATCTTCATGCTCCCAAGCTGAGGCTGAAAGGTGAGGTATGGAGAGCCTGTGTATTCTGCTGTGTCAATGCACCTTCCTTAATCTTAGCTGATCATATCATTTACATGCAGTGCAGTAAATAGACATCAGTAGGCAGCATTTCCTTATGAATTGTTCCACTTACTGACCAATAAACTTTCTCATTGACAGTCTTTAAATATGTCTAGTTTAATATCAGTCTTTGTATGAATAATTTGTGCAATCATTGTTGCCTTTTCACCTTGTGCTAATATTCCAAGACTCTGAGAAGTCCATGAGAATAATTTATGATGGAAAAGAGTATTTCCTTCCATAAGTAACTCATCCCTCCACCAAAACTGGTACTAGCTCAAGATCTGCCATATGAGCAGTCTTGATGCATTCTAGGTCTATGTCTGTAAAGTGTGGGTAAAATCTTCTGAATCAGTTTAAGACCCAGAATATCTCTTGAGTGCATAACTTTCCAGAGCTGTGATTCTTCAGGCTTTTGTTTCATAGGAGAGTTTCTGATTTCCTTGTGCAGATGAAACCTCTGACCTCAGCATGTGGTCTTGTTGCATGAAGATGCAATGTGAACAATAGAATTCTCGTGAAAAGTAGTTTCCCAGGATCTCATTGGCTTCTGTGGTTTTTCAGATGGGATTTTTTTTTTTTTGACAGATACATTTTTTTGTCCATCAACTGGAAAGCAATTGCTAGACACAGCAGAGCTAGCTTGGCTCACCTCAAATGAGAAGGAAGTTGTCAGGTGGAATTTTTTAATACTATCCATCTTTAGAAAAAGGCTCTGAGGCTTGAAATTTCTATTTCCCACTATCATAATACTTTGCAAAGAAAGAGCAAGACCTATAGGGAGTTATTTTACAAAGAGGAGGATGTGTGGTAATGTCAAATGTCAAAGATGTATTAGGTTATTGAAGATGGTATGGGGAGACTTGGGAGAAGAAAATTAATGCAACTGGAATATTTTAGCCTTTTTTGTGAACGATAGCACTGCTACATTAACATAACAGCTCTGTTTCAAATATTATAGCTTCCACTGTAACAGCTTGAAAATGTTCAAGTGATATTTTGTTTATTGGACAGACATTCCCCATTCTCAGCCCTCTGGGGAAATTCTTTCATCTTAAAAAAGGCTAGAAGTTCTTCCTTTTGGTTATATAGACACATAGCATTTTCAATGTTGAAATGTTATTAGGAAATTCTTTAATTTTTATCTTGAATAGCCGATGATTTGGATTTGGCTTAAGAGTGAAGGGTGATTGTCTCTGAGATGCAGGACTGAGATGTTTCATCCTTTTCTGTCTGCTCCCTGTCAGCAGAATACCTCTGCTTCACTTGCCTGGGTTCAATTCTGTACAAAATTAGCTTTGCCTGGAACTTTAAACTGATGATGCAGGTAAACTTATAAATAAAACTGTAATGAAAGTTGCCCATTAGCTTTTGACATGTATATATACCTAGAAGAGTTCTTTCTTTTCTGCTGTGCCTTGCACTCAATTTTCAGTGGTTTTCTACCAGAAGCAAGTACCTTATGCTTTCTTTTTTTCTGTTCAGAAAATAAGCAAATATCCTTTTAACTTTTCTTTAGGATAGCTCTTTTTTA